CCCTACCCCTGAGATGCCACCCTACCCCTGAGATGCCACCCAAACCCCTGAGATGCCACCCTACCCCTGAGATGCCTTTCTACCCCTGAGATGCCACCCAAACCCCTGAGATGCCACCCTACCCCTGAGATGCCACCCTACCCCTGAGATGCCACCCTACCCCTGAGATGCCACCCTACCCCTGAGATGCCACCCTACCCCTGAGATGCCACCCAAATCACTGAGATGCCACCCTATCCCCGAGATGCCACCCTACCCCTTTTAAGTCCTATCAACTGCAACTACTTTTCTCCGCACCAATCAGCGTTCAGCGATGTGATGCCAATGTTTATCCCCACTGAAATCGATAAAGCCCAATCTTTCATGCATGTAGTTTGGTGGGACTTTTCCTACTGAATATATAAAACTAGTATGAAACAGAGGACCAGCCCAAACATAAATATCCAATGATAAAAACATCGCAGTTTGGAGAGTAGGACGATAAATTAGTGACTGGCTATAATCTGTGGCGTAAACTGATTTCAGATTCGCAGCTATATCATTATTTTCTCAATGATTTAATGTACTGATTGTTTCTTAATTTGGGGAATAGAATTGGTTGCTTTTTAAAATCACTTAATTTTTATCATGGTAAAATATTCATGGATTTCCCTATGCATGTCATTATTAGTAGAATGTAGAGATTTAGTTGTGCTACAATTCAATTATTTAAACCCACATATTTAATTTAATCACTGAATTAAATGATAATGATTTGGCCTACTACATATAAGTATAGCTAAGTTAACGGAAATTGAACAAATCTAAAGAGACTGATGAAGAGTCATCATGCTGAAATTGATTTACGAAGGTCATGAGAGTATCAAAGGTCATGAGAGTCTCGAACGTCATGAAAATATCGAAGGTCATGAGAGTATCGAAGGTCATGAGGGCATCCACCACGCTGTTAGGGGATGTGTAATAAATAGTTTTACCAATCAAAATCGAACCAAATAATAATACCAAAAAAACCAACACGTAATTTGGAAGTTTGACTATATTGACCTTCTTTTACTTGCTTTACTTGTAATTCTGATCAAAATACTGTAAGCTTTTCCAACGTGCAACTGCGGAAAGACGTTCACATGACATTTATGGCTTGAAAAAATCAAATATTTTATAAGACCAAACGTTTGAGGACAACTCCACCCACCCACCCCCAAACTTTCACAAAGTCCACACTGTCCTGATTTATGATTCGCTCTATTTCTTGGACCCTTCACTTCTCCACCCTGCTCCCTGACGTACCCATAGCCCCGCCTACATCTATGCATAGAACATTAGTTCTCTGGGGTTCATTTAAGCCAGCCAGGGTTTGGTCTGATAGCCAGTCGCTCTGTGAAGCGCTCTGCCTTGCCTTCTTTGAGTCTAGTGGTACTAACTTTAGGAAATGTGTTAAAATTCTTTTTGGAAATTTATTTGATTTTTGTGGTACATGATCTCCTACTCTGAATGTAAGCTCTATTGAATTTCTCTGTATTAAACGTCATATTATATATAAAAAATATGTATATAAATATTACAAATTAATGAATTCAGATGCCTTTATAGATGTATTAATTTAAATTATTCATTTGGAAATAAAAGATCAAATATTATTTTATGATTTTAATTTAACATCTTTTCTTCGCGTATTTTACAGTTCTGCAGTCGAACGCAATATTTAAGGTTAATTTGTGTACGAGGTTAAATTTATAACGACGTTTACATTTCTTCTTTTTAAAATACTTTGAAACTGTATAATAGTTTTAGTTATTACCTAGCCTGGCCTATCCTGCAAGGAAGTTTTACTGCTGCACACTCTCCTTCAACTACTCGGGCAGAAAGTGAAGGGTTAGATTATCTACGCTTAGAACATAAATGTAATAAAAATACACAGTTTACGCCATTAGTATCAACAAATATAAAAATAGCAACAACGTGTATTTCACCTTACTGAGAATTCTGTGAATTTGACAAACTTGTCGCTTTTATGGAATGAAATGAAAGCAGGGCAATGAAAAAATAAAAGCAGACACACACACACAAATAAACAGGAGCACTAAAAAACCGAAACTAGTATCCAAATGCTTTATTTGTATTGTTTATTCCAGCTTGATGATATAACTAATGCAACGAAGAACTCCTGGACTCTGACACACAAATCGGAAGGGTAATAACAAACCCAACCATCAGCTAAACAGCTATAGAGAAAACATAATTGAAAGCCACCTTGTGAAGTTCAAAGAAGGCTTGGTAAGACTGACAGCACAGTTCAATTCACTCTGAAATTTAGCCAAAAACAATTTCGAATTTAAAGAAATATATATTTTTTTGCAAGAGTAAATCTACCAAGAAATTATTAAAATTATCCAGCTTTATCTTAGCCACGCCTTTCCTGGATACAGCAAGTTAAATATGGGAAATTGTTTGGAAATGTACAAAGTGACCCTCAGGAACGCCCCAGGGATATACGGTCCCACGGTGGATGAGAAGAAGCCGTATCCCATCCTCGCACACTATCCTGACAGGAAACCCATGGGCTTGCGGGAAGGACTGGCCAGAAAGAGGCTGTGTGACGATATCAGGCCGCCATCAGAAACCCAGCTAAAGGCCCTAGAGGTCAGGTATTGTTTACACTACGCATGTTCCATTTTAATTTTTTGACATCCTGAGCTTTAGTAACAAAAGTATATTGCAAAAAATGAAGTAGGAAAAAAACTACAGTGGAAACCCTCTATAACACGTATTCCTTTTAATGCGGTCATGGCATGGCTCCAGAATGTTCATGTCGTTATTCGATTTCTTTCTCCCAAAGTACGTGATAAAGATTACAAAAATATATATTCTCATACGATCATTAAATCCACTTTTTAAACATTACATCGCTTATTTTCCTACATTGAAAGAATACCAGTGCCATTCCCTAAGGCATACTTTGAAAAAATCCACAATAACACGACCTGGCTTTTAACGCAATCCGATATCATGGGACCCAATTGTAGCGTTATTGCTGTTTCATTGTGTTGTTGGACGTTATTATACACAGGGTTAACATGGGCCCCAGTTTGACCAGGAGCGTGTCGGTTAAGCAACCTTGTTTAAGCAAACTCCCCAAAATTTGCGACTCTCTCTAACCTTCTAGAACTTTCGTAAAAAAAAACACAAAGTGGTCCCCCCCCCCCCTTTCCCCCCCCAGGGATTGATTGCCCCCATTCTTCACCAGTCCCGCACCTGGGGNGGTGGGGTTGTTTTTTTTTTATTTTTTTTTTTTTTTTTTTTTTGGGGGGGGGGGGGGTTCTTCCAAACTCCTCTACTTCACATTTTTAAAGATATATGTAAATTTCGATCATTTATTTCTCTGTGTTAGTATAAACTGAATAAAAGACCCATAACGTTCGTTACTTCATTCATTGGCGATGCTCTCCTCAACATCAACCGTTTCACTAAACTTTTTCCCTATGGAATTACGCTATTTAATATATTTTGTGTCTGGATTTTATGGCAATATGCTCACTCAGGACTAAACGTAAGTGCATAGAAATACAATGTTTATGTACAAATGTTAAATCATCACATAAATATACTTAAAGTAGAGGAAGATGCTCACATATCTCGATGTTATGTTGTGTCACTCTTGGCAGTAGATAAATGACAAGATATGATGATCCTATAACATTGTGGCCTGCCAGTGAGCGTAGGAGCTATCAGACGTAGTTTTTAGGTTATTGTAATTGATAGTTTGCATCCACCCACCCCTTTATTTCCCTTCCATTCTTCAACCCTAAAGATATCTAAACATTTTGAATTCTATAATTATTTAATTCAGGAAAGTTTACGCAATCTAGATGGCATGAACAGCCCATCTGGCCTTGGGACGACCACCACCGTCGTGTTTTCAGTCAACAATCACGTGGGTCACCTTGCAAGTGCCCTGAAGATATTCCAGGTGAGGAATTTAAACACAGGAGACACGAGAGGCAGTAAAACTAAAGTCGATTTTTATCAAACCTCTCACATTTTTATTCTATTTATTACAAGAGCAATAAATAAACAAAATAATACCTATTTATCAATGTAATATGTAAATTCTTGAAATTTGGGTCATTAGCAATGAAATATGTGTGTCATGCAACACGTATATCATGCAACACGTATGTCATGCAACACGTATGTCATGCAAAACGTGTGTCATGCAATAAGTGTGTCATGCAATACGTATGTCATGCAATACATGTGTCATGAAATACGTGTGTCATGCAGTAAGTGTGTCATGGAATACGTATGTCATGCAATACATGTGTCATGAAATACGTGTGTCATGCAGTAAGTGTGTCATGGAATACGTGACGTGTGTTATAAGCTCATACTAGGGAAAGAAAAAATTAGTAACGCCATTTCAAACGTGTCATTCAGGAAAACAAAATAAATGTGGTGCACATCGAGTCGAGAAAGTCAAGGAGAGCGGATGCACTTTACGACATCTATGTGGACGTGGAAACTGACCACATACGACTTGAGGAGCTGGTCAACAGGCTCAAGAGGGAGGTGGCCAGTATAACATTCAATGAGCTCAACATCTCAATGACGCCCCCAGCATTTACAAAGAAAGGTAAAGATATTACCATTTACAACGAAAGTGTAAATACTTTACCATTTACACATGGCGAAAAGAAAAGTACGCTATTTAAAATCAATTATGAACATTTAAAACATGAGAGAAAACTATGCATTTTAAATAGATCCAAAATATCCCTACTTTTTAAAAGTAGATCTGTAGACGGTGGCGTGGGAAGAGGGTGGTAACAGGGAAAGTCCTGCCTGTAGGGACTTTCCTTTGATTTTTTGAAGGAATGATATTTTCAGCCAACTCTAAAGCATTTTTTTCCGTTGAAGGGGGCGGCAAAAATCTTTGCCTGCCCCGATCGACACTAATCCTTGGTACGCCACTGTTCGAACATCTATTGTGATAAATGCAGTTACAAAAAAACAAAAAAAAAAACAAAAACAAAAACAAACTCGCTTAGGTTTATAAACAGCATATAATACATTTTTTCCCCTCATTTTGCACATGAATTTTTAAAGAACGCTCCAAGTGAGAAGCATCGATTAGATACATTCATTCATCTCTTAGCTTTACTAACATCACCATCTCTTAATTGTTGTTTTACAGCATGCATGGAATTGGTTCCCTGGTTTCCCCGTAAGGTCACCGACCTTGACCAGTGTGCTAGCCACGTTCTCATGTATGGGTCAGAGCTGGACGCTGACCATCCGGTAAGCAGTGCTAAAGAATATATTTAAAAAAAACCCGCAATAGTTATATGATCAATAACGAACAATATTACTTGGGGCTTGTCAATGAACTCTAAGATGAACAAAACTCGTGGACCTCAATCAATCTGATCATATGACATTATTCAGCATATATAATTAAAAGGGGTTTCTATTGCTCATAAATAAAATAAACCCAAATTACAAAGTTTTTGGTGTAACTCCTTTATCTACATTTTTATTATTTTATTTTTTATTAATATTCTAATGTCCCACCCGGTTTTATAACGTAGATTTATTTCACAAACTATTTCAGAAAAACAAAAGTAAATATTACGCACTTGCGATATATTTTTTTAAAGAACATCTTTTAACGCACTCTTGGGAGAATTTTATCTCGTGAAATTAGTGTACATTCCTTTCATCTTCCCCTTGAAAATCAGGAAAAAACTGGTTTTTGGGGTATGGGGCTTAAACTTTAAAGGATGTGTTGTCGTCGGCAATGAGTCCATGAGCCAAGTTTCAGCTCGATAGGTTGACGGGGAAGAGGGTCAATTAACCGACTGAAGAGTTTGACACCCGGCCAGAAAGAAACACACGAACAAAAGGGATGTTAATATAAAGGATTTAAAAATAGCCCAGCGAATGATATTAACTGTTTAGCGTTTGTCATTCTTTTGAAAAAAAAATCATAAGTTTATCTGTTTAAGACAATGTTTCCCAGCGTCGAGCCCACAGGGGGGCAATTGCATTGTCAAGGGGAGCAATTTGAAAATGCGCTGTCTAGAATTTGAAAAGGAGCCGTCTTGAGGCGCATTTGAAGGCCAAACATAGTGGTCATATTATTTCAGATTTAAATTACTGCCAAACGTTAAAAAGAAATTTTGAAAAAAAAAGAACATCCTTAAATTTTCTGTTTACTGCTCATACTGCCATTGTCAATCGTACTCTTGAGGCTAGTTATGAAATTTCTTTACTCATAGCTAAACCTTGGAAAATGAAACTATAGGAGAGGGTTTGATCAAACCATCAATATCAGCCATTCCTGAAAAGGTTCTGGAAAACGATGACAAAAACTTGAAAGCTTTGCCACCCAGTAACAATACTGTTAGCAACAAAAAATAAAACATGAAGATTTTGAAATACAACTCGTTTAAAAGCTGAAAGAATGCTCATTACAAATTGATGAATCAACTTTGAGAGACAGTGGGGCCGTACTGATAACTTGCTTAAGATATATTGATATAGGAGATTTTGCTGAAGAAATGTTCTGTAAACCATTAGAAAGCACCGCTACTTCCAAAGAGATAAATATATAGATATAATGAGCTAAAAAATTATACTTAGATGTCAATAATATACCAATAAAAAATATGACATCTTGTGCTACAGATGGTGCTTCTAATACGATGGGAAAGGAAAATGGCTGCTTAAAATTCATAAGGATGAGAATCAAGAAATGCTTTTCGCACAATGTGCTATGCATAGGGAAAACTTGGTAGCTAAAAATATTTCGCCTGTTCTTAATGAAGTACTAAAATCCGCTCTAAACTGTATCCATGCTACTTAAGCAAATGCCAAATGTGAACGTCTCATGCAGACCATGTGAGACTTTGACTTCACAATGAAGTAAGGTGGCCCTCGAAAGGGAAACTGCTTGAAAAGATTTATGGAACTATTGGATACTCTTGGTGACTTTTTAAGTGAGAAACCTGAAATGAAATATCTGTTAACAGTTGATAGTAAAGCATTTTTGAGTTATTTAGACGATGTCGTTGAAAACTAAATATAATTTCATAATCAGCTTCAGGGAGCAAATAAGACTCTTGTCGATGCAAAAACAAAAATAATTATTTTCGTTATCTTCATTGAATTTTGTCAGAAATAAATTTGCAACAAAAATTTTGGAAAGTTTTATTTGCTAAATTCAAAATGTCTGCTACCGCTATACTTGAAATTTTGTATCATCTAAAAGCTGATTTAGAATAAAGGTTTTGTGATTTGAAACAAATTGATTTCCCAACTTGGATGATACAGCCAATGTTAATGGATTTTTCTGATATTTGAATATGCAGTATCAAGAAGAACTCGCAGAAATGCGAAATGATGAGTCTGTTTCAACTTTATTTAATATTAAAGGAGCCGTGGCATGGCTTTGTAGGTGAATGGAACAGGCCAAATTCAAACAAATGTGCACGACAGCTATTGTTACCGTTTCTCTGGGCATGCAAGGATCACGCGCAAGTTTCTCACTAAAAGTTTCTCACTAAATTAGTCATCTCACACTGTATTTGTGATCTCTCATTGTATTTTAAAATGATAAAATAAATAATAATAAATGAAATAATAAATAATTGAAATATTTTAGAAACATTATTTAGTACTTGAATACAGTTCCCCATTATATATTTTGAAAATTTACTTACTATTTTGGATGACATGTCACTCATGATATTTCAAAACAAACAAGCACCAGATTTTCGGAATCCTATATATAAACTAAGTGCAGTCATTTTAAGCTTTTAATTTTCAAAGTTAATATTACTTTTGTGATAATGGTGAAAAACACAAGGTTTAAAAAAAAAAAAAAAACTAACACCAGCGATGCTTAAAAAAACGTGCTCAGCAATTATCTACGATGAGAGACTGGCATTTGCCATGGTAATTGTTTTGTAATATTTATTGTTCAAGTCTCTTTCCCTTTAACCATTTGCCAATCATATCCTCCAGTGATTAAAAACCTTGGTTTATCAACTATAAATACAAAGTATGGATTTATTTTTCTTTCTCATATTATGTATAGATATTTACAAGTTTATTTTTCTAAATTTTCCCAGGGGTTTAAGGATACAGTCTACCGACAGAGAAGGAAAATATTTACTGACCTGGCCATGAAATATGCGCAGTAAGTTTGTATTGTTAAGGGGTCCATATATATGGACAGATCGGGGTCAAATCTTGTCATGATATCAATATTTCCTCTTGTGGCGTGAAGGTATTTGTTTGCATACGACATGTTCGTACACCTGTTACTTAATTTACTCCTTACTTAAATCCTTACTTCACTCCTTACTTTACTCATTACTTCACTCTTTACTTCACTCATTACGTATATCCGTACTTTATTCCTGACTTAAGAGCTTAGTTTGATTTCAAAATTACAGTATAAGCCACTACTTGTTTACTCAGTAAATAATATAATTGTTCCCTTTACTTGAAAGTTCTAAAATTGATTTAATTATTTTCAATCGATTTTCTCATTAGGTTAGATTTTTTTTTTTACATGTGTGTATTTATGATCAAGTCGATAATGTTCGTAAATTTTTAAAACGCAGATCCTAAATTAGAACTCTTTTCATTTTCCAACAATAACATGCATGTCCAATAATTGGTTTACAACATGCACATGTAATCATGTAGCTTACCTTACAACAACCTGTACCATCCAAAATTGACATAAGGCGGCCGGGTAACCTATCTACGTCGCCGTGGCCGCCATTGAACAAAAGCTGTCTGCATTCATACAATACGCAGTAAAAATAGCAACAATCGTTTTTTAAAAATTAGAAACAAAACAAAAATGCGCCGTTAAATTAAGATGATAATTTTTAGAAATTGTATAGAGCTCTCATATTCCACAAAAATTAATTTTACAAAAATGACATGCATTGATCGGACCGAATGATTCACACAGCAGACGTCATATTTGACTGACTAATGTTGTCCAGTCCCATTCAAAGAAAAAAAAAATCTGGATGCACCATCAGTGGTGGACCGAAGTGGTCCATTGGCCAATGACTAAAATCAAAGCAGCCCTATCTGACGTAATTTGCCTTGGGGTGGGGGATCGGGAGACAGATAACCTTGTTACCATGATGAAGATAATCTTGTGACAAAAACACAGATAACATTGTTACAATGACGCAGGTAACCTTGTGGCAATAAGACTGTCATAAAACAAACGATAAAATGAACATCTAAGTGACATCCATCTGTCACTATGTGACAATCGTGTGGACTTCCCAGGACGAAATCTCCTGCAAATTACCTGTCTCCACGTATCTGATAAACCAGTGCCGTCCACATTGTGTGTAAACGATACAGCTTGCCCCAAATCGTGGAGCAGGAGCTGCCAAAATTTTCTTTTAAGCTAGTTTCCTACCGCCTGCGGGAATTCATCTCAGGTTTTTTTTTTTTTAACCCTGCGACACTATTTATCTAAACATATCTTGCCTCACTATTTATCTAAACATATCTTGCGACACTATTTATCTAAACATATCTTGCGACACTATTTATCTAAACATATCTTGCGACACTATTTATCTAAACATATCTTGCGACACTATTTATCTAAACATATCTTGCCTCACTATTTATCTAAACATATCTTGAGCCACTATTTATCTAAACATATCTTGCCACACTATTTATCTTAACATTGCTTGTGACACTATTTATCTAAACATATCTTGAGCCACTATTTATCTAAACATATCTTGCCTCACTATTTATCTAAACATATCTTGCGACACAATTTATCTAAACATATCTTGCCTCACTATTTATCTAAACATATCTTGCGACACTATTTATCTAAACATATCTTGAGCCACTATTTATCTAAACATATCTTGCCTCACTATTTATCTAAACATATCTTGCGACACAATTTATCTAAACATATCTTGCCACACAATTTATCTTAACATTGCTTGTGACACTATTTATCTAAACATATTTTGTGACACCATTTAGCTAAACGTATCGTGTGACACCTTTTATACAAACAAATATTGTAAAACTATAAATCTAAACATATTTTGTGACACTATTTGACTATTTGACTAAAATGTCTTGTGACACTATTTCTCTAAACATTTCTTGTGAAACTATTTATTTCTCTAAACATATCTTGTGCCACTATTTACCTAAACATATTTTTGACACTATTTATCTAAACATATCATGTGCCACTAATTATCTGAACATATCTAGTGACACTATTTATTTCATTCACACGGTTTGCACGCAGTCCCTCATATAATATCCCATCAATGCTTACGTTACTTGACCTTTATAAAGCTATAACTGAAATAACGGATTTTGTAAAAAAAAAAGGGTATATTTGTTTATGATAAAGGAGAATACCAGTAAGTCAATGGACACTATAACACGACAGAGTACCGACCGCTGGGACGACGTTTTGACAAACTAAAGACACAGTGACAGTGATAGCACTTTGATCAATTTTCCCTGCTTGACGGAACTATGCTGACGAATGTTTAAAAAAAAAAAAGTAAAAAGAAGTTCAATAATTATAAGTGCGTGAGAGATAGAGAGAGGGGGAGAGAGAGAGAGCGGGAGAGAGAGATAAAGAGAGAGATAAAGAGATAGAGATAGAGAGAGACAGAGAGAGAGAGAAAGAGAGATAGAGAGAGAGCGAACGAAAGAGAGGGGGGCGGAAAATATTGGTCTTGTCTATATACAATTGTTCAGAACACTCTTATTGGCGTTCTGCCAAGAGCTATAATAAACTTGTGTTGAGACTTTGCTAAAGAAAAATTAAGTAAGAACGAAGACGAATACTTTGAGATGATGGAGAACATTTGCATTTCCGGGTAGAGACAGCTGTTCAATTGTTGTGATAAACCAACCGGCGTCCATTTGTTAGTGAGCCCGATGAGGCTGGCCACAGCTACGTCATAATTGAGTGGAAAATGATCCTCCCACTTCCTGTTCGAATGTTGCGCCGTGGTACCGGAAGAATGGAGGATTGTAAGGTCGATTGCGCATGTCATTAACACGGGGCCATGTGCATATAATTAACTCCGGTCAACGTGTAGGAATAATCTATGTGGATGGTCGTCTGTCAGAATCTGACGTCCTTGATAGTAGCACAATCCCTCCGCAGTAATCTTTTATATATTTGACCACAGTGTTAACATACAATTCCATATTTAAATAACAATTATCTCAGAGGGGTCATTACTTGAGAAAACATATTGCCAACAAGAAAGTGGTGATTGCAGGGGCGTAGGAAGGAGGTGGAGATGGCGGTCGGCCCTGGGAAGCACTGTTTTTCGTTTAATGAATGGGTGGCATTTTTGTCAAAGTGCAACTTTTTAAATGTGGAAAAGGGTGGGGGAAGGGTTGGGCGGGAAAAATCTTCACGTGCCTAGGCGGGCCTATCCATAGATACGCCACTGACTGAATATAAAAGACATTTTATGGACATTTCTATATTGCTTTGGAACACATATGTGTATAATATACACGGCCTAATGAAGGCCCCAGGGATGAGCACCAGGTAGCCTTCTACATCCTTAAAGTAGAAAACATTAAGAAATTTTTAAAAATTGATTAAATAATATGATTTTGATAGTATCATTGTTATTATTATTATTATTACAGTGGCTTTACATAGCTCGTACCCCAACCTACGGCTGGGCTCACCGCGCTTCACATAAAAATATTGGCAAAAATAAACATGCCGTTAAAAAAACTACACAAATTTATTCATTTAAAAACAATTTTATTTTAAAAAAAGAGTCACCCCGACCACCCTAGAACTATTTACCTGACAAGCCGTGGATTGCATCCAACAGCATTTCTTATCGGCCAGAGGTAGGTGAGCAGCAGTTTATTTATCTGTGTTCTATTCCACAAGAATGGTACCTTAACAAGATCCTGCCATTCTCCATTACACCACTGTAACTTCAGTCTTTTACATTAACATTCGGCATTAGACTGACATTGAGATGTGATATCTGACTGACATTTAAATGACACGGTCTAGTCTAATGTCAAGGTCTAATATGACGGTCTAAGGGTCAAGGTATAGCGTAAGGCTTTGATGTCACGTCTAAAGTTTAGATGTGACATTAATGCCTTACACTATACCTTGACCCTTATACCATGATATTAAACTTTGACATTAGGCTAGATCGAGTCATTTAGACCGTGATATGAAAACTGCGACATTAGACCTGGACATTTAGACTGTGGCACAATGCGGTGACATTTACACTGACATTAGACAATAATATTTAGACTGTGACATAAGAGTGTGACATTAAAACTGTGACATTTAGAGAGTGATATTTAGACTATGTCATGAAACAGACCAATCTCCAATACCTGTACACATCTTGAAGTCATGTAGACTTACAATTTAAAACAGTGTACTTATTGTCTTGATGTACCAGCTAGATAGGCCTGCAACGAATAAATATAATCTGGAACAGAAACTACGATCGTGTGTGGCCGGACAAGCCTTAAATACCCTGCAACCATAAACTTTGGTGGACTGGGCAAGCACTAAATATCCTTTGACATAAAATTTGGTGGACTGGGCAAGCACTAAATACTCTCCAACCATAAACTTTGGTGGACTGGGCAAGCACTAAATACTCTCCAACCATAAACTTTGGTGGAGCGGGCAAGCACTAAATACTCTCCAACCATAAAATTTGGTGGCCTGGGCAAGCACTAAATACTCTCCAACCATAAACTTTGGTGGACTGGGCAAGCACTAAATATCATGTGACATAAAATTTGGTGGACTGGGCAAGCACTAAATACCCTCCTGCCATAAACTTTGGTGGACTGGGCAAGCACTAAATACTCCCCAACCATCAACTTTTTTCATGCAGAAAATAACCTAAACAATTTATTGATAGATTATTATTTTTAAAAAAAAATTGTTTGTATCTATAACAAAGAAACTAAGCGTCAAGACTTGACATTCGTGTGTGTTTTAATGTATACTTTTACTTTGCTATGATTTGCTAACGTCTTCCAGAGCAGTATGCACTTATATCATGTGCACGGTAAATTGAAGCCAGTAATGTCAAAAATACATTTTTCATACTTAGGATTGGGGGGGGGGAGTGACGACCATCTTTTCTGTGTACAAAATACTACATCAAAACTTATCCTTGTAGTTTTTGAAGTTAAACTCTTATAAGATTATCATTTTTGGCCTATGTATTTAATATATATGTTATTTGCCTTAAGGCACCGTTACTTTTCATTTAATTAATCTTAAACAGAACGGTACAACAGATTACTTTTGTTTCTTAGCTGTTTCTTCGGTTAAATTTCGGAAAAGAAAAGCAACATTTTTTTCCAAGAAGTTTTTGTGAATTTCCTCTCCAACTACAAGAGTAAGTTATGTCTGACGTAGATGGCCAGGATTTTTATGGTTTCTCATGTTGACATGGAAATGAGTTGAATATAAACCATGTTTCCCCACCAAACTCTGCTTTTCTGTATTCGATACCTTTTACGGCACAGCCATTTCATGATTACATATTTGTTTAGTTCATAAAGTTCAATGTGCATCCTAAACATTCCATTATAACATGTAGGTAAGTATGCAGTAGTCGACACGTATCTATATCTGTCTGAGATATGTTCACCTATAACAGGTCTGTTATTTTTTTTTAAGGAAGGAGACCCATTATGAAGTTGTCCGTACAAAAAAAAAAAAAAATGTTTGAAACAGCTGCGCCCCTTCCCCCTACTTCAAGCATCAAGTTTCAATACATTGGTTTTCGGTCAGGGAAGTTCACCTATAACAGGTCTGTTATTTTTTTTTAAGGAAGGAGACCCATTATGAAGTTGTCAGTACAAAAAAAAAAAAAAAATGTTTGAAACAGCTGCGCCCCTTCCCCCTACTTCAAGCATCAAGTTTCAATACATTGGTTTTCGGTCAGGGAGACCCATCTGTGGCAAAGTTTTGTAGAGCTGATCCAATCTGCTATTTTTAGGGCGATCTCCGTTCAAACAATGCTAAACTCCTTGTATAAAATGACGAATCGTCTCCGATGTGAGCAAAGATTATATTAGAAACATCCCCAATCTCAGGGATGGGCTCAATGCATTCGCTCCGGTGAGTTCTCATCAATATTCATAGTTCCTAATGAGCGCAACACGCTGCTCGCCAAATCATTCCGGTTCAGGGGTCAAATCAAGAGAGACAAGCGTGGGTCAATAACTTCCGCCTACATTTCGGAGAAGAGGTTGTTGTAAGAGATCGCAGTTTGGGGGGGGGGGGGGGGGGGGGGGGGGGGGGGCAGAGTGTATGTGAGGGAGGTGGTATGAATGGAGATGGGGGCGAAGGCGTGCTGGAAACTGTATGCTTATTGCGTTCGCTTTGTCTTGCCTTCGTTTTATTTTTAAACACTGCGGACGTGACGTGGGGGTTGTGTTTAAAACAACAAAAAAAAAAAACGCATCTTTGGCCCAATCGCTTGTATTTCACAATATGCTTTTTCGTTATTGCTTTACATTCCCCGGCCATCCCCCGTCTCGTTGCCACAATGACTGCTTGGATTTACGGGAGATTTACTTTACATTACGGCGGACTTAGAAAGATTTCTTTTTTTTCTCTCTGTGGTAACTTGGCTGCTTTTTTTTTTTTAAATATATATTTATTGTAGCCGCCTCAGAGTATATTTAAATATACTCTGATGCGTCTGCAATAAAAAAGAAAAGAAATAATAAATAAAATTTTTAAAAAGCTCTGATGCGCCTACAATAACATAAATATCCCCAGCTAAGTTACTCCATGGTAACTTGGCTGTTTTTGTTTTAAATTTTATTGTAGCCGCATCAGAGTATATTTAAAAACAAATGAAATAAAGGCAAAGGCTATAATAGTATAATGTTATAAGGTAGAAATAATTTTATATACATGTACATTTTGGAATCAAGTCTGAGCAGCGGTAGACACAGGAAAAAATGAAGTAACAATAAATAAACAATTAAACTATGATTTCATAATCTCTTCCCCTACGTATTTTTCAGTAAATTCATTCCAGAACCCATTGGTCCGATTGATGACCCACATCTAAAATCTCAAATCAGACGGATAAATTTAATCTCAATTAGGTCGCTCAAAATTCAAGTACTTTGAGGGCTCCTTTTATGCACTTTACAAGGTTTTGTCACTTTTAGCTTTTGATTTACCTGTAAAGATTTCTTATACTTTTAGCTTTTGATTTACCTGCACACATGTCTTCTACTTTTAGCATTTGATTTACCTGTATACATTTCTTCAACTTTTAGCTTTTGATTTACCTGCACACATTTCTTCTACTTTTAGCATTTGATTTACTTGCACACATTTCTTCTACTTTTAGCATTTGATTTACCTGCACACATGTCTTCTACTTTTAGCATTTGATTTACCTGCACACATTTCTTCTACTTTTAGCATTTGATTGACCTGCACACATTTCTTCTACGTCATGCTATTGCCACCACAGTAGCACTAATGAATATGTGTTGCATACCATAGAGCCCTCGTGGTAGTCCATGCTACCCCCGGGGGCTGCAGGGGGCCTCCGATTATAAAGGGGACCAAAAGTGTGATGTAAAGAAAAAAGGGGGGGGGGTAAATATAAACTTTGCTTTGCATCAATTGAATCGATGAGGAGGGGCAAAACCGAAAATGGCAGGTTGGCTCCACCCCCGGGGGCTGCAGGGGGCCTCCGATAATAAGGCGGACCAAAAGTGTGATGTAAAGAAAAAAGGGGGGGGGGGTAAATATAAACTTTGCTTTGCATCAATTGAATCGATGAGGAGGGGCAAAACCGAAAATGGCAGGTTGGCTCCAAAAGTCACATGAGGCCCCTGACATACCTGAAGTGTCTAAAGAATTTTTTAAGACTGTATGCTTACATGGGGGAGGGGGGTGATCACCGCATTATTTAATTTTTTTTAAAAATGTGTTGTTATTTTTAAAACTTTATTATTTTTCTTTTGTTTCACCGATCCAATTGTTTTATTATTCTTTTCTTTCCTCAGTGGTACTGAGATACCGTACGTGGAGTACACAGAGGTTGAGGTTGAGACTTGGTTAGTTCCTGGTCTTACTACTTTTTGATATTTATTTATATTTCAAGACAAAATCCTTTCTTCAGCTAGCCAGGGACATCGTTTTGGGTCTCTAAATATCATTTGTGACAACATTAGGAAACATATTTTTTAATGAGAAAATAGATCAACATGCATTGCACATTGAAGAGAAACATTTATTAAATATATTTTGTGGCAATATCAGGGAAGACATAATTTTTTAAATGAGAAAATAGATGAAATAGATTTCAAATTGAAGGGATACATTAATTAAATATCGTATGTGGCAATATCAGGGAAGACATTATTTTGATGAATATATGTTCAGTTTAAAAAAATACAATGTACATTCAAAGGATATATTTATTAAATATCATATGTGGCAAAATAAGAGGAGAAATTAGATTAATGAGAATATAGTCAGGATAAACTACAATGGCAATCGAAAGGATATATATTTTATTAGATATTAAAAATAATTATTTTGAAATGTAGTAGTGGGAAATAAAATAATAAAATGTTTCAGGGGAATAGTTTTCCGTGAACTCATGAAGCTGTACCCCACCCACGCGTGCAGAGAATACCTGGCCAACATCCCTCTCCTGGTGGAGCACTGCGGATACAGGTCAGTAGGTTAACTCGTGGAGCACTGCGGATAAAGGTCAGTAGGTTAACTCATGGAGCACTGCGTATACAGGTCAGTAGGTTAACTCGACGAGCACTGCGGATACAGGTCAGTAGGTTAACTCGACGAGCACTGCGGATACAGGTCAGTAGGTTAACTCATGGAGCACTGCGGATACAGGTCAGAAGGTTAACTCATGGAGCACTGCGGATACAGGTCAGTAGGTTAACTCATTGAGCACTGTGGATACAGGTCAGTAGGTTAACTCATGGAGCACTGTGGATACAGGTCAGTAGGTTAACTCGTGGAGCACTGCGGATACAGGTCAGTAGGTTAACTCGTCGAGCACTGCGAATACAGGTCAGTAGGTTAACTCGTGGAGCACTGTGGATACAGGTCAGTAGGTTAACTCCATATACTCGTGGAGTACTGTGGATACAGGTCAGTAGGTTTACTCGTGGAGCACTGAGGATACAGGTCAGTAGGTTAACTCATGGAGCACTGCGGATACAGGTCAGTAGGTTAACTCATGGAGCACTGCGGATACAGGTCAGTAGGTTAACTCGTCGAGCACTGCGAATACAGGTCAGTAGATTAACTCGTGGAGCACTGTGGATACAGGTCAGTAGGTTACCTCCATATACTCGTGGAGTACTGTGGATACAGGTCAGTAGGTTTACTTGTGGAGCACTGTGGATACAGGTCAGTAGGTTAACTCGTGGAGCACTGCGGATACCGGTCAGTAGGTTAACTCGTGGAGTACTGTGGATACAGGTCAGTAGGTTAACTCATGGAGCACTGTGGATACAGGTTAGTAGGTTTACTCGTGGAGCTCTGCGGATACAGGTCAGTAGGTTGTAAAATAAATTATTACATTTTTTGGCATTGACGATAGCGTAACGACACATATCACTTCAGTTGTTCAGCTTATGTAAGCTGAAAGAGAACCAATGTGACTGGTGTTGTGATGGGTTATGCAATCACATTATATAAGTCTTTCCAACTTTTCTATACTCTGCTCCCGCTACGAATTATTTGTCTACAAACCCTACAAAAGCAACATTGCATTTAATTTATTGAATTTGCATATTTATTAAATAGCAAAAAGAGCTGCAGAACTTAGAACAAAATCAACCCATGGCTTATTTGATAAAGGATAATGTTATTAATGATTAAAAAGTCTAAAGAAATGTTTATATATTTCTTAACTTATCATTGTTAACATTTTCCTTTATGTGATAAGTCAAATGTATATTTTCTATCTTTATTTAAAAGCTTATCTTTTCTAGAAACACTTTTGCTCTCATCACCTGGCATGCTTTCTTGCACCCATGGGGTACGGGGACCCCAGATAGGGAAAGCCTATTCTAGATGATGAAAATAGAGATCTAGAATCCACTTTGCTTTGACACTAAGGAATGCCACAAGAATTTAGGCTGTCAATCATATTCCGCGATCAGAGTGTCGACCATTTGCCCACAACATGACATCTCTTGATCGGTCAATACTTAAGAAAGATTGTAAAATTATGCCCTAAGAAATCAGAAAATTAAATAGATGGATTATTTTAATTTTCGATCAATTTTCTATCTCCTCCCCAGAGAAGACAATGTGCCGCAACTGGAAGATATCTCTAGGTTTCTTAAAGGTAAGGTAAAGCGCTATCATTCAATCTTCATTGTCAACACGGTTTAAAAAAAAATAAACAAAAAACCCCAACTATTCTTGCCTAATCCATTTTAAATATAATGCAATTTAGTTCTCTATAATGTTTTGAAACACATGTAAAATTTCCTGTCCCCCCCCCCCACCCTTTCCGCTCTTTACCCTCCACAAATGGTGTTCAAGGTCGACCCGGATACACATTTTAACATATTTTCAATCTTGTGACGAAAGTTTGCCTTAACTACTCTTATTTTTCTTAACCCCGGTTTATTTAAAAGAAAGAACTGGCTTTACACTACGCCCTGTGGCCGGCTACTTGTCATCCAGAGACTTCCTTGCCGGATTGGCTTTTAGAGTTTTTCACTGCACACAGTACATACGTCACAGGTCCGATCCATTCTACACACCCGAACCGTAAGTTGGCAAAATTCGCAACAACAGCAAACAAATAATAATAATTTAGCGGCTTTATTTCTATTTAATCTTGACAGGACATCTGATTGTAATTTACCGCTACTTTATGAATGAATACTGTTGCCATATTTCCAGGGACTGTTGTCATGAGCTGATGGGTCACATGCCTCTTTTAGCTGACGCTTCTTTCGCACAGTTTAGCCAGGAAATAGGACTTGCTTCCCTTGGGGCTTCTGACAACGACATCGCCAAGTTGTCCACGGTCTGTCTTTGATTTAGTTTGTTATCTAAACTATATACTAGTATAATATATTTGTTAGGATATTTTTATTTTTTAGATCGTGTACATTTAATTCATAGGCTAATGTCTGTTGAACAAAGTAATAAATATTTAGAAATTCATTTGAAAAATGTGAAAAAATTGTTGACGTCAACAACAATGCTAATCTCTTCTCCAAAGTGCTACTTCTTCTCAGTGGAGTTTGGACTTTGCAAACAAGATAGCGAATTGAGAGCATTCGGAGCTGGTCTTCTGTCTTCCATCAGTGAGCTAGGGGTAAATATGAACATACTCTTATGACATAATGACGTAGTGAACTTTCTGTAAAATATAAACATACTCTTATGATCCAGTGTTATATAATGATGGATGGAGAATTCGTAGAAAAAAAGAGACACAACAATTATTTGAAGACCGAACCATCGTCACAAGATATTAAAAACTCAGGTGGCACTGGACAGGACACCGTGAGAAAATACCGGATTGTAAAGTACCAAAGGCGATATACAGGCAGAAACACAGGGGCAGACGGCTGGCCGGTCAACCAAGACTGAAATGGATTGATGCTGTATAGAAGGACTTGCACAAGCATAGAGGGGGAAGCGATGGGTCAATCCGAATGGAAGTATGGGGTACAGCTGGTCAGGGCTCAACGTGTGCTGTAGCATCACTGATGCTAATGACTGCTACATTAGCTGGGGGTCCGCACATGGAGACAGAAAGCCATTGATCGTTCTGAATGAAAGCATGTGGTGTAGCTGGCCAGGGCCCTACATGGGCTGTCGCGTCTAATGATGATGATAATTATTGACAAAACACAATGGTGAGCTTAGACTAAAAATGAACATACACTTAAAAAAAAAAACGCATTTAACAAATGTTCATTGACTGAACAAAAAGTAAAAAAATATACTATGCACAAGTGGAAGCTGGAAACATTGTGTGGCTGTACAAGCGCATGCGTGTTTGATATCTCTTGATATTAATGGTCTTATTGTTCATTATATGTGAGCAAAACTAAAAAAAACTTGTTGGTATTAGATAACAGCCAATGATCCATCTAGATTTCGAAAGAAAGGCCACCTTTTCTTGACACAGAAATGGGTAGAAATCTGAAAAAATATATATTTAGATATAAAATGGTGCAGAAACTCCATAACTTCTATTTGCGTGTATGTGTGAGTGTGTTAATTGTCTTAAAACCAACCTTTTCATTAAAAAAAAAAAAGTAGAAAATGCCCTAATTTTTTTACCAGGTTTCAAAATCGGTTGGGCGCGTCAGAATTGATATAATGAGATACTCTTTCTTGATATAACTTGATACATGTCTACTGGTCTTTGAGTAACACTGAGTAATTCATCATTGCCATTTATTGCCTTTACACTATTAAACTAATCGGCTGGGTTTGGAGTAGTGCGAATATCACACACGTTTAAACCTAAGAGTTGAGAAACAAATGCGTTTATTTGGCAGACACGTTGGAAAGTCTTCACTAACATCTTCAAAGTGTTGTTAACATTTGTGACGTCATTCACAAATAGGCCGCAAGAAAGGCTTGACAAGTGACGTCCTTGAGACCACTGGTCCAGAATATACTGAGATATTAGAATGCTAATTGAATACATAAACAATATATACAGATATAATAGAACAGTAGTGAAATGCATTAAAATAAAACGATATATTAGCAAACTAATGGAATAAAAAAAATGGAAAACTATTGGAATTCATATACCTATATATATATATATATATATATATATATTAGAGCATTACTGGAATATAATTATAAAAACACTTGTACAACTATTTGGGACAACATCCAAGCTAATCCCAAAATCAAACAGCTTTGAACTATACTACTTGTTTTGTTCATTTTCGAGTTCAGATAAGTTGATTATTTACGTTGATTATATCATCAAAGTTGAAACTTATCACGATAATTAATGCTGAGAACTGTCGACCAGTAGAAGTGATCCCCCGACAAATGTGGCCCGGAAATGACTTTGTGACCAGGAAATAGTTCTTAACGCTGAAACGAACTCTTTGTGTAGCTATTGGATGCCTTAGAAGTGTCAACAAAGACAGGGAGTCTTTTTCAATTCGTGGTCCTAAATAATCAATGAAACATCTTAAACAGTCGTATATAGGTTTAACATGCTGTACAAATTCATAAAGTTGAAAAACCTTCTTTTAACGTATTCTAATTCTTATGCCAATAATCTTCTGTGGTCAGTTTTTCTCACCATTCTGAGTTAAATATTTTTTCAACCTTAATAAATAATAATAATAATAATAATAAAGTTTATTTAAAAAACACGCTTAATCCCCAAAGGCTCGAAGCGCGGTACAAAGTCAAAATTTTTAAAATAATTTACCACATTTAAAACAAACGCAACTCTACAAAAACAAATTACAAGCATACCAAGTCAAAGTCTAATTGAGATCATTTCAGACTTCTAAATGAAAATGTGTGCATATATCTGTTTTTAGTTGTTGCCATTCTGTCTATTGCTTAAGAAATTCCACAATGTCAGTTAACCATTACTCTTCTTTTTTTCATGTGGCCAGCATGCTCTGAGCGACAAGGCCGTCAAGAAGGTGTTTGAACCTCTGCACATGTGCACGCAGGAGTGTCTTATAACAACATTTCAGGACGTCTATTTCTATACCGACAGCTTCGAGGAGGCTAAAGAAAAAATGAGGTGAGATGTCAGAGGTCACTGGAACCCAAGAGATGTTTATCAGATAATATGAACGCTCTCCATTACACTGATTTTTTAAAGAGTTTTTTTTTTTCTACATCTTTGCGAAATGAATGATGAAGTGATCATTACACGTGTATGGCCAACATCTATACTGTTTAAACAGATGAAGTCAAACATATTCCCATATGGCTATTTTATATCATGACATAAAATAACTAACGTAGCGCCTAAATGTTCAAAGTAGTCGGACCTATTTTAAAAATTCTTTATATTAACTTCGCTTTTGTTTGTGGCTGGCTGGCAAAAAAAAAATCGGACGGCTAATTGACACACTTCCCGTCCACCTATCGAGCTGAAACGTGGCACACAGACTAATTACCGATGAAAACACATTTTTTGTTCACATTTGCAGCCCCACTCATAATGCCGCACATTTAAACAAGAAAAAAGAAAACATAGACTAATTACCGATGAAAACACATTTTTTGTTCACATTTGCAGCCCCACTCATAATGCCACCCATTTAAACAAGAAAAAAGCAACACGCGTAGTTTTAGTCTACACAGTAATCCTTACAGAAGCCATAATCTTATTTTCCAGGCAGTTTGCCGGGACTATAAAACGTCCATTCGCTGTCCGATACAATCCCTACACGGAGTCAGTGGACGTCCTGGACAGCACCAGGTGCATCGCCTCAGTGGTCAGTGAGCTGAAAGGTGACCTCTGCATCGTCAGCGACGCTCTGAAGCGCCTGCAACTGATGGAAAATTTTCGCTTCTCAGATTAAAGAAAAAACGATATCTTAGTCTTATTGGTATTCTGATCTAGGTTAAGTTTAAATTTCCATTCAGTGGCAAAGTTGATCCTTGTTCGAGGTTGAGACTTTTGTTCAAGGTTGACTTTTGTTCATAGTATATACTTGTGCAAAGGTTTATGGTACACTGCAAATGTTTCGAAGGGATGGCCTCTGAAGTAGTCCAATTTTTCGTATTTTGTATTGCTTAATCTCTTCCTTTGTTACGAATCTGCTGAGCACTTATGTTCACCAACATGGCTTTCACATCAATAGGCAAGGGTATGTTGAAGAAGGCGTTTGCAACTGAGTGGTAATAAACTTAAGACCTTTGAGGGGTTTGGATTTTCTGGCAAAGCCTCCAATCTCTCCTGATGCCAGTTTAACATTATTGTATCCCCATTGTGTACTTGTAAACAAGAATAAAGTCATAACGACTCGTGTACAAAATGTTCTACATATAAACAAAGAGTAGTATTTCTCAATGACGCCTTTGCATATATGATAAACGTATCACAATTCTGATGGCATCGGAGACATGACGAAACGCATAAAAACCCCTGATAACATTGCACACATGACAAAACGTATGATAACCCCTGATAGTTTTGCACACATGCCAAACGTATGAAAAACATTACAGCATTGCACACATGACAATACTTATGAAAACCCCAAATAATATAGAATAAAAGATCGACATGTAACATATTATCATGTAGATTTTTTCCCCAACTTTCTTGAGCTGAACAAATTTATCAAAAGTACAATTATTTTAAATCCTATATCTTGGATGGGGAGGAAGAAATGATTGAAATAATATTGAAGAAATAATATTATTTTAAAAAGATTTTCTATTGGCATCACTAAAAGTTTGCATGCCCCCCCTCCCCTCCCCCCTCCCCCGACTGTCTCGTATGCGCGTTCAGTAGGCATTCTAAGGTTTGTTCTACTTATAGCACTTATAGTAAGGATCACACAAACATTTTTAAAATCTCCTTGCAAAGCATTCCATTTTAAACCCTTCTTATTTCTTCACTTATACTTTGTGTTTTTTTGTGTAAGCCTTCCAAAAAAATTCACTGCGTCCAGACACATCAAAGACATTTATTTAGTCAGTGGAAATGAAAATAAATAAGATGCTTTTAGCATAGGCTTTCGCGGATAAGGTGATCCCCCCCCCCTTCCCCCACAATCGCAACCGCCCAGATAAGGTGTGTCATTCCCCTGCCACCACCCACAGATAATGTGAGTTATTTCCTGCACCCACGATTTTTCAAGGCCACACACACATAGATGTGAAGCATATTTTCATTCCATCACCTCACCCATCATACTCAACTGAGGCAGTCTCCTACACCATTATGGAACACGGAACACTTTGCATTCCATCCTTGCACCCTGACTACACAGCGCCACCTATCGCAACTCTCCGCCATTTCTTAAAACTAAAACCAAAACCAACCAATGAACATAATGATTTTTGTTATTTCGCCACACACGGGAACCTTACTCTCAATCAGAACCTTGGATATATTATTATTACATTTCTTAGTTGAGTGTTGTAATTGTCCCAAGGGAAATAGTCAAACGCACTGGTACATTTAATGAAGAGCTACCAATAAAATATGGCATTATTTGCAACATACTGTGTGCGGTGTTTTTGGAGTTTATGAACAAGTTTTTATTTTTTGAAATTGTCATATATTTTTTTTCATTGGCATCCGTCCGTCACAATGGGACGATGGTGTAGACTTCGCAGGTCGAAATCACAAGGCCTGAGATATTTTTTTATTTATTTAGGAATATAAGCTGGTTCTCTAGACCGAAAATCGCCTCTCTCCACGCACCTGGACAACCCAAGGGAACATCATGTACGGATGATACAGATTGACACTAGTTGCGTCGCTGAAGTTGTCGGAAATTTTCATTGTATGTATTAATGTATCCGCCTACTGGACTCCCTCTCCGGGTTTTGAGTCAATGCAGACAACATAGTGCTACTGGGCAGAAACAGTAATTACATAATTATAGCATTCGGGGAAATTGAAAATGACTCATTCAAAGCTGGTCTTGATGTAAATGAACCGAAGAGTTTCCCTCTCTTAGTTTAATTGCCGTCAGTGGTTAACGGGTCCCATTCACTCGGGGTGCTGGTGATGTCCTTGCTTGACTTAAAGCGGGGTCTCAAACTCGAATTATCAGGGGGCCTAAGGAGATAAAGTCTGAGTGAGCTTGGGCCGCATCAAGCATTCCTCAAAAAAAAAATGATTACAAATTCAATAAAGTACAACTTTTTCAATATACTCTGCCTTTATTAATAACTTATTATAACTACAAGGGTTCTCAATAACTTGGCTTTACGCACTCCTTCCTACTCCTTGCTGCCAGAGACCTGGCAGCGCTTCTTCTCACACAGCTGAGCAACATTTGGCTTGAGTGAGGAAGCCCCTGAGACCCTCAGCTTAAAGATGCTTACCAGTAAGTGTTAAAATATGGGTATTCGGGATTTGACAATACTTGAATTAAAGAACCCCCAAATTGTACATATTTGTCCTCCAAATGCTACATATTGCCAAACAATGTTAAAACTCTCAACTACGAATAATATTCGATGTTTATGTTTGTACAGACAAAGGTCCCTTCTTATACGTTAGATTAGTACGTCCACTAAGGCTCTGTCTAGGGTATGATTATATTGATAATTAAGTACTCTAAATTAACCTCACTCCACTCTCTATCTAACGTTCAAAGACACTCTCACTAGCTCTCACTTCAATTAATACTATCACTATACTAAGAGACACAGGTGGTTCAGCCCACAAATAAATATTTAATTATAAACCATAATAAACAGAATTAACGACAAACATACACATATAGAGCAATGTCTAATTAATTATCTAATACTTAGGTATAATATGGTGAACGCTCCTTCTACTTCCATGGGCCCACATTCTGGAACCAGCTCCCCTTCCATATCCGTCATTATGAAACCTCGTTCATTTTCAAAAAGTCCCTTAAAACTCATCTGTTTAGGTCCGCCTATGACCTGTGATGCACCCTCCTTGCCCTGCCTCATTTTCTGTTTCGGGTTGATCCTGAAGTATAGGCCAAAACGTGTCAAAGTGTCCTCGTTTTATAGCCATTTTCTAACAAAGATATCATATCATCAATGATAGGATCACAGAGTAAAATATTTTACTTAGTTTACATGTTTTTAATAATTGTAAAGCGCTTAGAGCTTTATGGTAAGCGCTATATAAAAATGCCTAAATAAATAAATAAATAATACAATTTCGTCCATGGACTAAGTTGCGATTGGTGGGCTGTCTTCTGTAGGCGGGTCCAATACACACTCTTGGTTTGTCCTCGATATCTGGTCTCTGGTAACTCGCACTGCAATGTAAGCGTAGACTCTAACCACACACACACACAGCTTCTGGTGGGGGTGTCTGCTATTCTAGTAGTAGTAGAACTAATCTACGCTTGATTCGTTTAATAGAAGGTTAGCATTATTCTGGCCCTAACGACTGACTCCACTAACTGTACTAGCTTCTACAGTTAATTAATGATCCAAATATTACTTACTGGCCAAATGTTATTTACTGGCTAGAAATTAGAAATGAGAATAACAAATACAATGCATAAGACATAGGTAAGAATTACATCACATCACACTATAAATTATTAATAGTTCTCATAATCAAACATTAACTATAGTCCTAACATTTTCTTAATAAAACTACACCTACAATTCTACACACCCGTACACATGAATAGGAAAATTAACAATACTAACCCAACACAATCAGGATAAACACACTTCATCAACTAATTATGCCAGCCAGGTTCTACTGACAGACTTAAGGTGAAAGAGAAAGATACACGATTATGGGGTGCCTTTTATATTGGTTACAGTGACGCTGTCCTGCATTCTAGCATGCGTCGCTTGGTGTCCTGCATCTCCTGCCTCGTAATATGCGTCCACGTTGGTACTCAACGTGACAACTCAGCGTGACAACTCAACGTGACAACTCAGCGTGGTTAAGCTTGAGCAGAACGAGTGCATTATTTTAAGCTGGGTCTCGGTCAAGGTTAACAGGCTAATTTCCATTGTTATTTGATAAATTGTTATTATTGTAAGGCCCAGCCTAATTGCGTCATGTCACGTGAGGTAGCGATGGAGAGAGTGTGAGCCAGCGGGCTTCTCAAAAGTGAGGACCAGCGGGTCGCAACAGTAAGTTTAGCCCTTAACTTTGACTTGATCCGTATGAAATATCTTGAAATCTCAGGGAAGTAGGAGGGCAATGCTCTCACAAATTGTCCAAGCTTTTCGGTTTTTCCATTCACCTCTCTGAACTTAGCATTGAATTCAGACTTGTACTAAAGATCAATCAGCTCCATTTGAAGCGCAACTGGGGATGCAGGGGGCGTCTTCCACCCTGAGGGAGAAAGGTTCAGCAAAAATGTGAAAAGTCTCTGTGTGTTTTAAAGGCTGAAAACCTGTGAGCACATTCGAACTTTGACCTCGTTTGTCTCATTAAATGCTATAAAATAAGAACGTTTAATATGATATTTTAAAATAAAAGGTTTTTGCCACTGTAATCAACGTCCAAACCTATTAAAAAATGTTTTTTGCCACTGTAATCAACGTCCAAACCTATTTAAAAAATGGTTTTTGCCACTGTAATCAACGTCCAACCCTTTAAAAAAAAACATTTTAAAAATCATAGTTAGACTAGTTGGTGAGATTCGACTGAAACCGTCGCGGAGGGTCACATTATATCTATGAAAATGGGGCAAACGCACGGGAAGAAATTAACACTGAACTTTGCTGTCAGGTATCGGGTCGCAAAATATTGCGAGTTGAAGACCCCTGACTTATTATTTAATTTCCAAAAGAGAAGATGGAAAAAAAGAAACTAGAAAAAGGCGCAGGGCATCTGCTATGCACCTTATAAGACAACAATGAGCCTCTATCGCGTGCAGATTTTTGTTTCATTTATTTTGTTTTATTTCACAAAATAATGAGTAAATATCAGATGATTTTTTATTTTATTTTGTATAGCATTTTACACAAGTAACTGGATACATGTAAGGAACTTGCTTTCCAGAATGTAAAGACTAGAGAGGATTGAATGATGACCTACTTTTTTTTAGAAAGGATTTTTAAGAGTTTGTATGAATTAAATTGAAAAGGATTTGTTATTTCTAAGATCGGAAAACGTCACATTGCATTTCGTAATGTTACTATTTTTAGACAATGTTGTAGTAGAACATATGTTCTAACAAAGTATTTCCGCATACATATAACAGTAACAATTGGTTTGTAAAATCTTTCGTAACAATAAAGTTGTGATCACATTATCGTCTAGGTTAAGACCCACTGCGCTGGCTCACGGGATTTACCGAACAGCTGTTGAGAGATTGGCCAAACGGAATACCAGGATGTTTAAAATATCCTAATGAGATTGGCCAGACTGTACGCCCGCATTTTCTACTTACAGATTTCCGCAATTAATTGACAAGCCCTATAGACATGAATTCTCACGGCCAACATAACAATTAAGCGTGATGTACGTATTTTTAAACAATAACAAAGAGCACTTTATTGTAATGATATTCATGTTTTATTCACAAATTCACATTTATCTACATATATTTACAAAAAAAAAAATTAAAAATTATATGATACGGACAAGAATGAATGATCGATCTCAAAATAATTTATAGATGAAATATGTGACTCCTCTGTTTTATTCCTCTGATAAACCCCACAACTCCCACTAGACGTCACAATCAATCAGTACTGGTTATCATACTGATCCAAATTCATATTTATATATAATGTAGGCAATAGAGGAAGGAAAGCATCGGAAAATCCATGTTCAACCGCAGTCCAATTTTAAAGTTTTTTGCAGTATCGGTCGTTGGTGATAAGCTTATGCTAAAAACGCAAAAGCTCGCCCACACAGTGGGTACAATTGTCCAATCCTACAAGCCAGCTGTCCCCTCCTCACAAGACTTGAAACACATCAATCACCCCCGTCATGTTGATGTAATAGTCAGGTATGACCATCTTACAATGCGTCTTCCAAACTCCGTCTGTCTCCAATCTCCTCGACTCCTTTTCCCAGGACTGACCATAATCTGTGTTGAGAACGTCTGAGCTGTAGGCGATGACACAATGCCTGGAAATAATGTCAGTTTGTTCATATGTGACTTTGATGATATTGCACAACGCGTGGGGATATATTAATTATAATCTCTAATACTACTACAAAATGTGACCCATTTTATTGTTTTCAAAGGGATTTGTCTGTTTCTAGCAAACTGGTGGCGAACCTAGTGTGTGTGAAGAGGACAATTGCACCAGTCGGCACGCTGGGGGGGGGGGTGTATATTTTATATATAAAAGATATGTGTGTGTGTGTTGATGGCGCACTTTTGAGCATTTTCCCCCGGGAATTTAGTGAAGGTACGCCCCTGTATCAAACTGTGCAAAAGAGTGTTGTTAGGCAGAGATCACTGACTCACCCGCCGGGCTTGGTTACACGTACGAACTCAGTTTGGGACGTGACGGGCAGATGATGCTCTAGTACAGCCCCCGAGGTAATCACAGCGTCATAGAAACCTGAATAAACGGACAGACGAGTAGTGTTAACTGTTATATCGAGTTGATTAACTTAACTGGGGAGGGGGGGGGGGTAGTTGCTGCCCAGGTGGTGTAAGTAAGTCAAACTGAAAGGCTGATCTACATCAGTAGTATTTAAAAAATTTTATTGCATTGAATTAGAAATAAGGGGGGGGGGGGGGGGTAGTTGCTGCCCAGGTGATGTAAGTAAGTCAAACTGAAACGCTGATCTACATCAGTAGTATTTAAAAAATTTCATTGCATTGAATTAGAAATAGCTGCTTCCGAGAATGTGTTATATGACGCAGTAATATGTCATATGACGTAGTAGTGTATTTTACGACATGGTAATGTGTTTTATAACGAATTAATATGTTTATGGCGAAATAATGTGTCTAATGACACAGTAATGTGTTTAGGACGCATAAATGATGCGGTAATGTGTTTTATGAAGCATTAATTTGTTTTATGGTGCAGTCATGGGGTAATGCTTTTTAACAATGCTCAAGGTAACCAAAAATTTTTTTCGTAATTTAAAAAAAAAAATTCCCCATGATTCTAATTTCATTGGTAAAAAACGAGTCTCAATATAAATTAAATTATTGCTTTTATGAGATGGAGCGATGAAATTTGAGCAATTATAAATTAATTATCAGATGGGAAGAAAGTTGAGCTAGTAGTAACAAACCATCTATAAGATGGGAATAACGTTGAGCTAGAAGTAATAAACCATCTATAAGATGGGAATAACGTTGAGCTAGAAGTAATAAACCATCTATAAGATGGGAATGACGTTGAGCTAGTAGTAACAAACCATCTATAAGATGGGAATAACATTGAGCTAGTAGTAACAAACCATCTATCAGATGAGAATAATTCTGAGCGGTATAAACAGTTCGCTGGGACTAATGTCGATCGTTAGTCCCAGCCTACTATCATTTACATCTGCATTTTCCTTGTTCTTTTTTTCGTTCAACATATCCACAATAATGCGTACAGCTTACATGACATGGTCACAGCTACCAACAAACATGCATAATGGATACATTTAGGATGTGCCATTCCATTTTTCGGCTTACCATCTTTGACAGGCAGCCCGTTATCGTCGTCGATGACACAACAAATGAACTCCTTGTAGATGTCCTTCTGGCGGCACACTTCCAGCATGGCCCATGAACCGTCGTGCGCGTGGACGTGGTCGAAACCAACTTTGTTTAACTCACGTCCAACCTGGCCTGGGGGACAGTTGATCGATAAGGAAATGAGCAACGTGTGGATATTTGGCACGTGTTCGTCGGATCACCATTGATCTGAGCAAACGCTTGGAAGCTCAGTCACTGTTGTAAACTTTAAACCAAGTTTTAGGAAATTATTACAAAAATCACTTTTTGCTTTAAATTGATGTATAAAAAGGTTACAAGTATAATTTTTTGTTGTTGTATTTTTTATTTATTCGACATTACATAAAATGTAGGCATTATTAAAGTATTAGTCTCATTAATTAACGAATGAACTATCTTTGATGAAAAGCAATTACTGGTTTTTGTTTTAACTTAATGAACATTATTAAAAATGGTGATATGAACAGATCTTTAACGATGAGCAATTATATGTTAGCATTATTATTTTCTACCTGGTCCAGACGCGATATCCAGAATCTTTGCCTGTTTCCTACTGTGTACCAACATACCGGCCAACATCTGGGCACAGTATAGCGGGGCCTTGTATTCCAGGGACTGGGCATTTTCTTCAAATTTTTCAGCATTTCCAGGTTGGTTGTAGTCTAAACAGAAAACAATGACAGCAAACGCACATCTCAGTAAGTAGAACAGCAATGTAAGTGACAGTGTATGCCTAAGGTTTCTTATAGCACGATGAAAAAATCGGTTTTCTAGAATGTCACAACCGAATGTACACAACAAGAGGCATCACACCCTTTGGAAGAATGTCCAATAATGTTGAGACTCAAAGCGGCATCTGTCCAAGACTTTTTTAAAAAGTCCACAGTAGTGATATGGAAGCTGCTCTATGTAAGTGAAACCTAGAGAGTCTACTACCAACGCCCTGCATGATGGTTGAACCGCGTACACACACCACTTGTCTCAGAAAAATTCTCAAAATGAAAAATTAGTCACTGTGCCAGACAACGAAATCTGTGCAGAGGTTGGTTTCTCCAGCATCTATAATATCGGCATGAAGTCCCGGCTACGCTGGACTGGGCTTGTTGTGGCTACCTAAAAAATGTTTACGGGGTAAGCTAGAGGCCGACCGAATTTCAGCTTCGGCTTCGGTTTCGGCGCCGAAAGTGGCCATTTTATCACTTTCGGCCAAGTTTCGGTTTCGGCCGAAACTGAAAAGTTAACTGTCGTCTTAATTTCGGTTTCGGCAGAAAGAGAAAAGTTAACTTTCGGTTTTTCTTCGGTTTCGGCCGAAATTGATTTAGACTTTCGGCCATCCGGCCGAAAGTGACTCAGGTTTTCGGTCATTTAATACTCAGCGAAAGCGATATTTAACAACAAAATAAGCGACATTTAAGAACAAATTAAGCAATCTTTGAGAACAAACTAAATGATATTTAACAACAAACTAAACGACATTTATGAACAAACTAAACGATATTTAAACCAAACTAAGCGATCTTTAAAAACTATCTAAGCGATCTTTAATAACAAACTAAACGATCTTAAAGAACAAACTAAACGATTTTTTAGACCAAGCTAAATGATCTTTAAGATTAAAACAAATGATCTTTAATAGGAAACAAATGATTTATAAGAATAAACTAAGCGATCTTTAACAGAAAACTAAATGTTCTTTAGGAACAAACTAAAAGATCTTTAAGAACAAACTAATCGATCTTAAGGAACACAATCAATTATCTTTAAGAACAAACTAAGCGATCTTTGTGAAAAACTAAGCGATCTTTAACAACAAACTAAGTGATCTTTAACAACAAACCAGGCGATCTTTATGAACAAACTAACCGATTTTTAAGAAAAAATAAAGCGATCATTAACAAAAAATGGACGATCTTAAACAACAAATGAAGCGATCAATAATAACCAACTAAACGATATATAAAAACAAATTAAGCGATATTTTAGAACCACAATTTTTAGAGACCCGGTTTAAAAAAATAATACTTTGCATTAATGTCCTCCCCCCCCCCCATCTCAATTTTTGCCAAATTTTCTCCTAACATACTAATTAAAAAAAATTGTAACGCAATTTAAATTACTTTTATATTAAAATGGTAAAATCCAAAGTATTCATTAGATCAAGGGTCTCAAACTCAAATCACCAGGGGGGGAGGGGGGCGCAGGAGGTAGTGTCTGAATGAGAGTGGGCCTCATCAAGTAATCCACAAAAAAGCGACTACAACTGTTACAATCTGCTCAACCTTTATAAATAACAATAAAATCATTAAGGGTTCTCAAGAACTAGGATTCACTTTCATCCACCTACTCACTGTTGCATTAAAAAAATATATAGAAACATTACCAAAAAAAAAAAAAACAGAATTAGACTAGTCGGTGAGATTCGACTGACACCGTCGCGGAGAGTCACGCTATAGCTATGAGAATGAGGGAAACGGGCCGGCGCATTTACACTAAACTTTTCTGTCCTATAGCGGGCCGCAAAATATCGTCTTGCGGGTCACAAATGGCTCGCGGGCCGCGAGTTTGAGACCCCTATATTAGATGTTTATTTATTAATATTCACAATTATCTCATTTTTATAAAAAAAAATGTAAATATTTATACTTTCCTCACATCATTTTCGATGTATGCAAAATGTATGCGGGAACGAATTTCAAAATATGTAAATATTTCATTTTCGGTTTCGGCTTCGGTTTCGGCTTCGCTTTCGGACGAAATTCATTTTTAAATTTCGGCCTTTTTTCGGTTTCGGCAGAAAGTCATTTTAAACTTTCGGCCTATTTTCGGCTTCGGCCGAAATCAGAAAATCACTTTCGGTCGGCCTTTAGGGTAAGCCCAAGCCTAACTGAAAGCATAATGCTTATGTTTTGTACTCTTGGGAACAACCGGTAACCTCTCCAACCCTTTGACGCTCCTTGGTACCCTAGGGCTCCGTGAAGCGCGAAGCCCACTGACAAACCTCTTCATAACTTAAGGCTTTGTCTTATAAGTCATCCAAGAACGCACAGACAGACTCAATCCCAGTGAATATCGGTTGAATAGAATGATTCAAGTCGGCAAATGAACAAAAAACCCTTCAATTCAACATTAGATCTCTTAAAATGTATCTACCTGAGAGTGGGCAGATTGAGAATGTTTCCTTACCTGTGATGCACCTGTCTATATCACCTCCAAGACTGCACACATGTTTCAAGACCCCGGTGCGTGAATGGGAGTAGATTGGGTACATCGTCTTGATGGGTTGACTGCTCTGTGACAAAATGTTACAAAAATCGTTTGTGATATTGATCCAACGCTTTTAAAGAGGTTGCGATTTTACTGTTGACCTGTGATGTGCCAATGTTGATGCCCCTGTGTTCACTGTCAGCACTCGTGTGATCACTGTTAATGTTTGTGGTGTTCAATGTTAATGTTTGTGGTAATCAATGTTAGTGCTCCTTTGTTCAATGTTAGTGCTCCTGTGTTCAAATGTTAGTGCTCGTGTTTTCACTGTGATTTCAAAGTTGGGTGGTTCAGCTTATATACCAGTGTAGAGCATTGTTGAGGGGCAGAGGTCAATCTAATATTGGTAAACATTTTTTTTAAAGAATAGCTTAACCAGAATGATTTTTTTTTTAATTCTTTAATAGAATAGCACGTGTTCTGCTGCAATATTTTGCAACCGCCAATCGATGGTCATTGTGTTTTGACGTCTGGTCTTTGACCGGGTCATTTGTACGTTCGCCCGTGGCATTTCCACTTAGGTACCACGAAGTCAGCACTTAAGGTCAAGGTAAAACCAAGGTGCTGAGCATGTGAGAAATGAGTGATGAAAGGAACAGATGAATTGTTTCCCCGTAGCGCCCAGCGACCAATGAGAAACAACTGTCTTATCAACGTTCAAACTTTGAACGGTCAAATATTGGTAGGCACTTATTCATTGGTTCGTTGCAGCTATTATTGTTGTTAACCACTGTTGCCAGTGACGCTGAAGGGAAAAAAGTGAAGTGGGTTTTCGTTGACATGTTTGTTGTTTCGCCTTTTAATAGCTACAAACAGAGTGCAGAATGTACCGCTTTTTTGCACTTTGTAAAAACTGGGTTACGACCTTGAACTGGGCAATCCGTGGAAGCACTGCACAGACTACCGGGTTAGGGGCGTCTACAGAGATATGGATGTACACAGACTTGTGGGCTTAACATTAGGTGGGACTGCTGAGGTAGAAGCATGGGAAGGACGGAGCTAGAAACATGAAGCTTGAGCTAGAAATAATAATATTTCGAAAGACAAATTTTGACGTCATCAGAATAAAAACATTTGATCTGTAAAATGCGGTGTAATTGTTTTATTTATTTATAAAGTTCACCTTTAATTATCCCCATCACGTGAATAAGGACAAAGTCAGTGTGTTGATAAATGTACGCTGCTTAACTAAATTACTGAAATGTTATTTTAATGTTATCAATCACTCGAAAAAGAGTACTGCTCTTTTTGTTAAAAGGCCTTCGTTACAGTCATTTCTGGCTGTTTGACTGTCACATACACTGCTGTTCACATCTTCTGGCTGTTTGACTGTCACATACACTGCTGTTCACATCTTCTGGCTGTTTGACTGTCACATACACTGCTGTTCACATTGTCTGGCTGTTCTACTGGGCTGTTTGTGGCTGCCTTACCCTTCCAGGTTGGTTGGTAATTTGACTCGATTGAACTGAGAGAGGAGGTACTGAGGCTCCGCCGAACCATTCAACGCTTATAGCGCAGATCATATTGGAACAACATGAACGGCATCTTCTCAGAGGAAGACACCCCGATCAAAGATGTCAAGAACAAGCGCTTCTGGACTTTTGTGAAGCACCAAAAGTCCTCAAACACTGGAGTTTCCCCCCTGAGGTGCGATGTCCAATTGGCATCTGACCCAAAAACACAGGCTGACATACTCAATCAGCAGTTCCAGTCGGTGTTTGATTATGGTAGAGAGTACTCGGAGACTGAGTTCCTTCTGAAGACCAAAATGATGAACAGAGCCTACCCTGTCTTGGAAGATATCAGAGCAGGGTGCGCTTGCTCTCCTCAAAACCCTTAACCCCTACAAAGCCTGTGGTCCTGACAACATCAAACCATGAGTGCTCAAAGAATTGGCCAAAGAAATCGCTCCTGCATTGACAATCCTCTTCCAATCGTCGCTGTGCACAGGAAATGTTCCAGCAGACTGGAGAACAGCGCTCGTCACTCAAATCTACAAGAAAGGGGAGCATTCCGACCCTGCCAACTATCGTCCGATATCCCTCATCAGCGTGGTCTGCAAACTGTTGGAGCACATAATCGTAAGCACAGTCATGAAGCATCTTGAAAGCCAAAATATACTCAATGACTTTCAACATGGCCTCCGAGTCAATAGATCATGTGAGATCCAGCTCCTTGAATTTGTAGAAGACTTGATGACAAATCTGGAGAACCACAAGCAGACTGACGTGCTGGTGATGGACTTCGCAAAGGCATTTGACCGTGTGAATCATAGTTTGCTTCTACACAAACTCCAGAGATATGGGATCCAAGGCACCACTAAAAAAATTATCTCTAGCTTCCTCAGCCACCGATGCCAAGCAGTAGTTGTTGACGGTACAAGCACCTCCTTTGTCGATGTGAAGTCTGGGGTCACCCAGGGATCAGTGCTAGGCCCCTGTTTTTTTCCTAGCATACATTAATGACCTACTCGAGAAACTGTCATCCCAAGCAAGACTGTTCGCAGATGACACAGCGGTGTATGGGACGATCGCCAACAGATCTGACCAGGATCAGCTACAACAGGATCTCAATCTGTTAGCTGAGTAGGAGATGAGCTGGGACATGGAATTTCACCCTGCCAAATGCCAGAAACTACCATTCTCTAGAAGTTGTACTCCTATACACTATCAATACGAACTGCACGGCCATATTCTTGAGCCAGTTTCCTCCGTAAAGTACCTGGGTGTTACCATTCAAAGAGAGGTCCGCTGGGACGAGCATATTAACAATGTATGTAACCAAGCAAACAAGACCCTGGGGTTCTTAAGGCGTAATCTGAAGATTGGCAACTCCTGTGTGAAAGAAAGAGCCTATAAAGCCTTTGTCCATCCAGTTTTAGATTATGCATCTTCAGTCTGGGACCCATTTACCAGAAGAGCATTGACAGGTTGGGAGCGGTCCAGCGACGGGCAGCTCGCTTTGTCCTGAACCACTTTAGGAATACCTCTAGTGTTGGCAGCATGCTGGAAACACCAGGCTGGTCATCATTGGAGGAACGATGACAACAATCCAGGCTCTCCATTATGTAAAAGATAAATAATGGGCTTGTCCACTGTTCCACTATTAAACGGAAACTCGTCCCTCTCCCCATAGAGGGCGACGAGGCCATGACAGGCAATTCAGGCTCAAACCAGCAAGAAGCCAGTATAGGAGCTGCTCATTCCTGCCCAAGACAATCAGGGACTGGAATAAGCTTTCAAAAGGAACAGTTGAGGCGACAACACTAGATTCATTGGTGTCTATTGCCTCAAGCCGTCAAACCCCCAGTGCATGATACCCTCACAAAGTGGCACTCGAAATCAGTGAACTGTCCTCATCAACACCAGGCACAGGAACATTGCAAATCCCCTCTAAATGCAAAGGAGCCAAAATGATCAATAAATTGATCGTGGGCCCTTAATATAGAGAAGAAGAAGAAGAAGACTGTCACATATACTGCTGTTCACATCATCTGGCTGTTTGACTGTCACATACGATGCTGTTCACATCTTCTGGCTGTTTGACTGCCACATACACTGTTGTTCAAATTATCTGGCTGTTTGACAGCCACATACACTTTTGTTCAAATTATCTGGCTGTTTCACTGTCACATACACTGTTGTTCAAATTATCTGGCTGTTTGACTGTCACATACACAGCTGTTCAGATCGTCTGGCTGTTTTACTGTAACATAAAGTTCTGTTCACATCTTCTGGCTGTTTGCCTTATACACCACTGTTCAAATAGTCTGCCTGTTTGACTGTCAGATACACTGCTGTTCACATCGTCAGCCTATTTGGCTGTCAGATACACTGCTGTTCACATCTTCTGCCGGTTAGACTCCCATATACACTGCTGTTCACATCGTCTGCCTGTTTGACTGAGAGATACACTGATGTTCGCATCTTCTGCCTGCTTGACTCCCATATACACTGCTGTTCACATCGTCTGCCTGTTTGACTGTCAGATACACTGATGTTCGCATCTTCTGCCTGTTCGACTCCCATATACACTGCCGTTGGCATCTTCTGCCGGTTAGACTCCCATATACACTGCTGTTCGCTCTCGTCAGCCTGTTTGACTCTCACATACACTGATTATCGCATCTTCTGGCTGTTTGCCTTATACACTGCTGTTCACATCGTCTGCCTGTTTGACTGTCAGACGCACTGATGTTCGCATCTTATGCCTGTTTGACTCTCACATACACTGATGATCGCATCTTTCGAATGTTTGACTCCTATGTACACTGCTGTTCGCCGGCCGGATGGGTGATCACCGATCATCTCCCATTTGCGGTTTTCTATGTCGACATTCCTCACCTTCCATTTGCATATGTCCTTAAAGAGCAGGCACGGTCTTCAAATGAGTTCCCCCCGTCCCTCAGACCCAACCCCCCGTGACTCAAATTATAATCATAAGTAATGGATGAAAACAATTATAGAGAACATTTTACTGTATTCCACTTTTAAGTATTTATAAGATATTATTCATACAGAGGCGTAGCTGGAGTATTTGGCACCCGGGGGACAAGATTCATTTTAAAGCGCCCCCCCCCCATATTCTTTTTTCAACACACAAACCCATTATTATCATTTAAAAAAAAATAATATCAGAACACATTTTGGCGTCCCTAACTGGTCTTGCGCCCAGGGTCATCTGTCCACCCTGCCACCCTAGCTACGCAATTCATACAGAGGCGTAGCTGGAGTATTTGGCACCCTGGGGACAAGATTCATTTTAAAGCGCCCCCCCCCCATATTCTTTTTTCAACACACAAACCCATTATTATCATTTAAAAAAAAATAATATCAGAACACATTTTGGCGTCCCTAACTGGTCTGGCGCCCAGGGTCATCTGTCCACCCTGCCACCCTAGCTACGCCTCTTGAGGATGTTTAAAGGCAACTTCAGCGCGTACGAAGGGTTCCCCGCGCCATCTCGCCACTCATAACCGTGGACGTTGAATGCCAAGAAATAATGAAAGCAGTTACGAAAGATCATCTACTCTAGCTACCATGACTGCTGTTTCCAGAACGAGGGGGTCAGTGTTGTTTTTGTGTAAGTGGGCGGGTGACCTTGTGTGACAAAGTTCAGCGATAGCTAGAAACGTTTTAAAAATATTTTAGAAAAAAAATTAACTCGGTCAACCGAAGACACCATAATTGCACCCAGGTCATATCTGTTACAATCGAAATCGTGTCAATGTCTCCAGTGTTTACATGGGGCAGATTTATTAGGTCATGTTGAACTATTCATAACTTTGGCCTGGTTGTACTCTAATAAAAAGAGAAAAAAAAAGCCATAGTAGAATGCCTAGTTCACCATCCTTTATAACAAACAG